CGGCAACAGCATCTCCATTTTTACCTGGTCGTCTGTAATAAATAAATAACTTGCAGGCTTTACGCATCAAATGAGACTATTTTTAGTTTATTGTATGTTGCTCTCTAATCCAATTCTAATACACCGTTTTAGTTTTTATGCTCCTATACTTCTCTTCACAAAATCCAATTCTGACACCCCTTTCTGTCGATGGCTCCTTACTCCATTTGAATGTTCATGTGAATCCGTGCTGGTTAGCTTCCTCTCCTGCTAGCAATTACATTACATGCTGTTAGTTTGAATTTTGGTTTAGGTGTTAATTAGTGAAAATCATTGATCATTTGCAAATCGATCAAATGTTACCGTATAATACAACAATCAAGCCTTAATCATATTAAAGAGGTTGACTACATGGATTGGATGGTAACATAATGTTCTATCATATAACAGGTCTTAAGTCCGAATAAAAGGTGAAAATTGTGTTATGCGGTTAACAACCAAGACCATATAATACATTAATTAAAATTTTTGAGCACATCATGTTGTGATAATTGTTGGTGTTGTGAAAGCAATATTTGATTCATAAACGTAGCTTTTCCTGTTCTGCTTCCAGTTCAACATAAGATACAAATACATTACAAGGTGGGGGAAAATCATGGATAATGTGCAAACTTCTGTTGAAGCTAATGATCAAGAATGGAAACAAAGGTGCAACAAGAGGATGGAGAAATTGAAGATTACGCGGATTCCGATTCGCGATGTACCTTTGCAAAAAGGACTAGAGCAGGAGAAACTTCATGAGGAGAAACATATAATGAATTTTGAGTTGTATGAAGCTGTTGAGAATGGAAATGTGGATATGTTTGTTGATGTGGTGGAGCAAGTATTTACAAACACAGAACTAACTTTGTTTGCTATTTTTGATCAAGTAACACCATCAGGTGATTCATTGCTTCATGTGGCAGCTGATTTGGGTAGAGAACAGATTGCAGAGCTAATTGCTTATCATTTTCCTGGACTTCTTTTCGGGACAAACATCAAGCGCGATACTGCACTTCATGCTGCTGCAAGGTTTAAGAACTCTAATGTAATCAAGATCATTCTCTCACAAGTTGAAGGTTTAACGAAATTAACCAATGCAAATGGGGATACTCCTTTGCATGTGGCTGTGTGTAGCAGGCATCTTAGTGCTATTACTGAACTTTTACTTGCAGATAGTCATGTGGTTCATTATTTGAACAATTCGGGTAAATCGCCACTGTATTTGGCCGCTATTACCGGGGATGTGGATATTCTTGATCTTTTATTACAGACTCCATTCCCCTCCAACAAGCCCCTCCCACAGTGTCATGGGAATTCTCCACTTCATGCAGCCATCTTTGAACGAAATTCAGGTATATGTTAAGACTGAGTATATATGTTCAAGATTCTTTTTCTTTTACAATGTTTGAATGTGAGTAAATATTGAGGTATTACATGTTTCTGGATAAAGAAGTGAAATGTATATCTGTGAATCAATATCTAAAATTTACTCAATTATGTTATCAAATAATAGAACTGTTGTACTAATTAACAGTCCAAATATTTCTTAACTCCTTTAACTCAATATATGGTTTCAAATGTAGCTATATTGAACGAGATACTAAAGAGAAAACCAGAACTAATTTACTTAAGAGATGAAGATGGAGGGACTTCCCTTCATTATGCAGCATATATTGGTTATGTTGAGGGCGTTCGCATACTGCTAAACATATCTACTCTAACTGCCCTAGAACGAAACACGAAGGGCGACCTTCCTATTCACCTTGCTTGCAAGAGAGGCCATGTTGAAGTGGTTGAAGAATTGCTTCAAAAAGAATGGCCTAATCCTAGAGTTTTCCTAAACTATTTGGGCCAGAACATCCTTCATGTTGCAGCAAAGAATGGAAAAATTAATGTGATAAGGTACCTCTTGAGAAACAAAAAGATTGACTGGTTCACATTAAATGAGAAGGACAACAATGGGGACACTCCATTGCATTTAGCATCAAGAAACTTATTTGTCGGGGTTCTAAATGAAATAGCGCGAGATAAGAGGATTGACGTGAACCTCCTGAACAATGAAGGCTTATCAGCTCATGATGTTGTTGTTTTGATGCATTCTAAATTCCCAAGCACTATTAGAGAGGTATTGACATATGTTTACAATTGAACAAATGCATCTTCCACATTGTTTTCTTTCTTATATTTTCAAAACATTACTTTTTGCAGTAACATTTGTGTACCCAAATACCAGAAAATCTGCATAGCTTATTAACAAATAGCTTCTTGTTGTTTCACTTTGCAGTATTTAGCCCTGGCCATCTTGTCATCTGCCGGCGTACCCCGGATTAAAAAGGCAACTAGTACAATGACTCGCCACAAAGACGACGGGGTCAAGGATGGAATAAGCACACTTATGCTTGTTGCTATACTCATAGCTACAGTGACATTTGTAGCTGGTTTCACCTTGCCAGGTAGTGTCTACAATTTGAACAATCCAGACCCACATAAAAGTTGCATGACAGGTTTGGTTGATAAGCCAATGTTTCAAGTATTCACAATCTGCAACACAATATCAATGTTTAGTTCTACAATTGGGTCCTTTGTTCTCTTATGGGGGCAACTTGGAGATTTCAATTTAGCAGGAAGTGCCTTTATTTTTGCATTGCAAATGGTGGGTGTGGCTCTTATGACCATGTCTTTGGCTTTTATGGCTTCTCTGCGTTTGGTTGCTAGTAACTTCTCATGGCTTGCAAATATCATAACCATTATTGGAAGCTTATTTCTATTGTTGATTGTGTTGCTCTACATTTTATTGATTTTTCCACTCAAATTTCGCCACCCTCTAATTCTATGTCTAGCCAGCCTCTGTATTGAAATTCTGATATTGTTTGATGGAAGTTCAGATAAAGTGATGGTCAAGTTTCAACAAAACAAAAACTCTCAGAAAGTTGACAAGGGCAAAGATCAGTAGTAAGGGAAAACAAATGTCTCTATCATAAAGGGTTGTAATTGTTTTGATATGCACTCTCTATAATATACATGGCTTGCTATTGTTCTATGAATGAGAAAAGGGAGTAAACAAGTGTAAGACTTTTTTACACCGTTTCGATACATCATTCGCTCGCTGTACATTTTCAATCATTATTAACTCTTACTCTTAAATAAAAGTAATATAAATGAATGGTGGATGAAGGATGATGCACTAATTGTGTATAAATTTTTACAGTAACAATACATATATATTGTATTTTTTATGTATGTATACTGTTCTGAAATATAAGATTATATGTTTCTGGCATCTCTTATCACTATCTTTGGTAACCTTCACCACCAAATTGGGTCCATTTGTTATATGGAGAGTGGAGATTTTAATTGATAAAAGTTTGATGCACCTCACTATTGTCTACATCTCTCAAATGAGTAATTAAGTTGCAGAATACAATTTAAGTTAAGGAAGTATATAGTATTATATATTTGAGTAAATTGCACTCACACCCTTGAGAAATTACACAAATTACCCCTCACTTTTTTGTTCTTACACGAACCCCTAATTTTGTACATATGTTACACTGACTACCCCTACATAATATAAAAGTGTAATATTTTAAACAAAAAACGTATGATGTGTTTAATTAATTAAACAAAATATTGTATATTATGTAGAAAAATTCAAATAATATAAGAGTCAATGTCTCTTCATTATTTGGTTCGTTATAAAATAATATAAGAGTTATTTAAACATTTATTTGAAATTATTAATGTATTTTTTTAATGACACAAAAATAATAAAGAAACATTCGCTTTTATACTATTTGAAGTGTTACACAATATACAATATTTTGTTTAACTTAATTACATTCATCACACATTTTTTCTTTAAAATATTACACTTTTATAACATGCAAGGGTAGTCTGTATAATGTATGTATAAATCCAAGGGTGGTTTGTGTAGGAGGGAGGGTGGTTTGTGTAATGACAAAGAAGGGAATGGTGGTTTGTGTAATTTCATTAAAACTCAGGGGGTGTGAGTGTAATTTTAAATTCTATTTCAATAAATATATTGTATTGTTATCATGGAAGGTTGGTTCAAGTGTTACATGTTTACTTTTCTTAAAATAAAGATTTGAGTTTGAGTTTTAATTAAGAGAAAAACACTCATTAAGAGAACTAGTTTTGGCTGACTATCATATATAAAAGTTATTGACTCAAATATAAATATATATATTTAATAACAAATAATACTTCTGTTAAATGCCAAAAAATATTATAATCTTTTTTTCCTTATAATCTTCTACAATTTAAAGACTTTTGTTAAGTTAAAGGGTCCACTTTCACATTTGATTTCTTTTCCTTAAGATATTCTTAATGTTTTAAATGATAGGCTAATTTCTTTGGGAATATTTCAACTAACTTTGACTTTAAAAAAAAAATCAAATTTTGGCTCCATGCCATTACATAATTCTATTTTTTAATATTATTTATCTCTAGCCCATTGGTGGTGGATGAAAAAGAGTCAAATGTATTAATGAAAAAACAAATAATTATTTTTCTTTATATTTTTAATAATAAAAATGTCATTTTAATATATATAAAATGATAAAAATATCTTAATATTTTCGTTTTATTTTTATAGTATTATATATCCATTAATGTAGAGAATCCTTAATAATTATTGGGTAAGGTGGGAAGAATAGAAAGCCACTGTACACTTACTTTTGGGAAAATTTACATATACCGTGAAAGTTGACTTTTTTATTACTATTTTAGTATAATTTTTGTAATATTTTCGGGAATGATATAATTTTACAATATTCATGAACTAGAAACACATTATTTTTATCTCATGGATTAAATCCACGAATTACCCGATATGTGGTTTCAAGCCACGTTTTCACCAATTTTGTAAAAATTACACATTCCTGTAAATATTACAAAAGTTACAATAAGAAAGTCAATTTGTCCCATACCGTAAATTTTCCCTTACTTTGGTTTCAGGTTGTCTATTAGTATGTTACTATAAACCTTGCCAGTGATGTGTGACCTATCAAACTTCAATGCGTTGGATCGCACTACAACTCTCTTACTTTAAATACCTTTCTCTTCTCTTTTTCTAACACAACCATCTTGCAACTTCTCTTTCTTTCTATTCTTTCTTGTTCTTTTTCCACACAAGGCTAGCTAGCTTTTAAGTGTTATATTTTTCTGGGTATGGCTGGGTTTGAACAGAAGCTGAAGGACAGTGCCAAGGACCTAAAGAAATTCGTCAAGAAAGGGGTCAAGATTGTTGGAAACTCATGCAAAAAAGGGTGGAACAAACTCAAACATATCAGACGCTGATTCTAATTTAATCCATTACATGCCTTAATTTATCTCAGACTCGGTTGTTACATTCTTTTATGTTTGGGAGGAGATCCACTTACTCTTTACTCCATGTTTTAGTCATAAATGCTAGAGATTTAATAATTTGAATTAATGTGTAGATCTAAATCTTTAGATTTTCTTAGAATTGATAGCTAAGACGTGGAGTTTGAGTGAATGAATCTCTCCTCTCTATTTATTTTGGTATTTCATTTCTTCATAGGTTTGATTTTAATGTAAAAAAAAATCATCTGAGTCAATATTCCTCTATTTTTAGTGATAAAATTTTGGTCTGTCTATTTCTTTTATTTCATACTTCGTTTATGTCACTGTATTATTTGTACTTCCTCAGTTCCTCTATATTTCTATTTATTCGCCTTTGTTTGTGAGGAGCTAAGTTTAAGATCTTGCTGTTTTTTATATCAATTTATGTAATATAATTTTTCCTTTTTTGCTTCTTTTGTTAAGTGGTTAACATTTGAATGTTTTACATGAGTGTAGACAAATAAATAGAAAATATCTGTTTTGTTAAATGGTTAATATCTTATTATATAAATTAAAAAATAATATTGGGAATTTTTTGACTTAACAAATTAAATAAAGTTTGGTTTGAATTTAGCCTGGGCTCACTTTAGTGTAAATCTTAGTTTAAAGTGAAAGTTGTGAAAGATGTTTGGGAAATAAGGCTATAATATATGTCTATATTTTCAAATACACCACTTTGAAAAGTACCAAACACACTTTAAAAAGTTAATTGAAAAGTACTTTTGGAAAACTAACATGACTTCAGTTTGATTTTGAAATATACAAATGTAACCCTTTATTATTTTTGATATACAGACATAATGCTTTCATTATAATTTGAAAATCAAACATGAATATAATTATTTAATTTTTATTATAAAAAACCTTTCTAATGCAATTTTTTCCTCCTAACCGCTTGAGGTGCCCCAAATGAGCTTAACACCCTATAAATACCAAAATGTTTTTTATTATAAAAAACATTTGTCGAGAGAGATAACTATATATGTTAAAAGTGATTAATTCCTTAGTTGTTGGGTAAAGGATACCCTTGGCATTAAAATCACAAAAAATAGGATTAAAAATGAATCGAATTAGAACTCAGCTCACAACCCGAATTAGTTCATTTGGACAACTCAAGTAATTAGTTAATTTTAAACGATGAAGCCACAAGGACAAAGTGTACCTTTTCTCTTTTAATATGGGTCATTATATAAGAAAAATAAACATAGAAAATCAGGTTATATATTTAGCAAAATCATGAATATAAAAAGTCGAATTGAACTATATACAGCAATTTGGCTCACTTATTTAACAAAATCATTTTCCAACTCAACTTTGACCTAATTTATTCGGTTCCATTTTGATATTTGAGTTTCGAACGAATATCAAATTGATTTGGTTATGTGGTAGCCCTAATTTACTGTATAAACCTAAATACACTTGTTTCTACTATCCACTGTACCGTTGTAAACTGTGAAGAATCATAAACCCTTACCCTAACCTGGGTTTTACTTTGTGGCAGCAAATGACGAAGCTTATTCGCTCAAAATGGAACCTTTACACCACAACCCTTCGTGTTTATAATTCTTCAGCAGCTTCACCTCAAAGCGATTCTCTTTTCATTCGAATTTCCAGAGCCGGAGACCCAAACATTCCCATAACTCTTATTCTCAACCAATGGATTCAAGAAGGCAGACACGTTATTCATTCTGAGCTTCAATTTTTCATCAAACAACTTAGATCCTATCGCCGCTTCAACCACGCCCTTCAGGTTTTTCCCATTTTCTTATAACAAATATTGAATTTATATATTCCTTTTTATGAACAGTAAATGATATCATTTGTAAATATTTGATTGTTCTGATTTTAAATATAAGTCAGGTTGATTTAAATTTGATGTATAGTTTAAGTTCTTTCTTTTGATTATAGATTTAAAAAAATGTGTGATTAAATGATAATGTAATTCATGGAATAATGCGGTGCATGTTACCAAATTCACTTCAAGTATTTCATTTTTATCAGTAAAATAAAGTTGTATTAAAGGAATTACAAGGGGTACTGATCCCTATACAAAAGTTCATCATAGAGACGCTTTGAAACCTAAACATCAATTGACAAACTCAATCCGTGTACATGTTTTTAACGCATCGACTCCCTACCCACGTTAACATGATTTATGGTAGAGCATTATGATGTCGTTTGATCCATGTGGCCGACCCCATCTAGTGGGATTAAGACTTGGTTGTTGTTATTATATAAAGTTGGTCTATTGTTACAATGTTGATTCTGTTTTGCCTGTACTTAGTCTATTGCAACTTAAATTTTGTTCTGAAGTTCTGCGTAGTCTGTAAAATTTAGCTCGGTATGATTGAAGACCATTATTAGATCATTTGTTTGCTCGTATCAGATATCAGAGTGGATGAGCAGTGAAGGGAACCTTCATTTATTAACTGGGGACATTGCTATACGTCTTGATTTAATAGCAAAAGTCCATGGCCTAGATCAAGCAGAGAAATATTTTGATAGCATTTCAGATGCTTCAAGAGATTTCAAGGTCTATGGTGCTCTTTTGAACTGCTATGCACAACATAAATCTGTGGAGAAAGCAGAGGCTATCATGCAAAAAATAAAAGAGAATGCTTCCAAACAGGCTACAGATTTAGTAGTCAGTTATAATGTTATGCTAAAACTCTATGCCCGAGTAGGTGATCATGAGAAATTTGATAATCTAAAGCAAGAAATGATTTCGAAGAACATATATGACATTTTTACACTTAGAAATTGGTTGAATGCTTATGTGACCGCTAAAGACATCAATGGGATGGAGAAGCTACTAATGCAAATGGAAGCTGATCCTGTGGTAACTGTGGACTGGTTAACATACTCAATTGCAGCAAATTGTTATATTAAAGCTGACCAATTTGACAAATCCAATGCAATGCTGAAGAAATCGGAGCAATTAGTTAATGGCAAGATTAGGAGAAATGCTTATGAATCTCTTCTAACTATGTATGCTGCAATTGGACAGAAGGACGATGTGTACCGCGTTTGGAATATGTGCAGAAATTTAAATCGTTCTCAGAACTCAAGTTACGTTTGTATGTTAAGCGCTTTAGCGAAGCTGAATGACATTGATGGAGCTGAGAAGATTCTCGAGGAATGGGAATCCGGAAATACGTGTTTTGACATCAGAATTCCAAATGTGATGGTTAGTGCTTATTGTAAGAATGGTCTGATGGAAAAGGCTCAAGCATATATCGAGAGGCTTTTAAAAGGAGGCAATGAATTAAATGGAAGTACATGGAATCGTTTGGCTCATGGTTATTGCAAGTGCAATGATATGGATAATGCAGTTCAAACACTGAAGAAAGCAATCTTGGCAGGTACACCAGGATGGAAGCCTTACCTATCTACTTTGGCTGCATGCATTGATCATGTGAAAGAGAAGGGAAATTTGGATTTGGCATTGGAAATTCTTACGCTAATGGAACAAGGTCATTTCTCTAATGCCACTTATGATAAATTATTAAGCTATGTGCGTGGTGAATTCCCAGAAACAAAAGCTTTTGATCTGCTGCAAGAAGATTATTATCTCAAGGCTGTTGAAGTTCCAGATGGAGAGAAGCAGCATGAAATGTTGCTCAAGGGAGAGGTCAGCAACTGAATTAATGAATCCCCCCAATGCCTTTGATTTGTAAATACTGTCATAGTTTGCATCACCTTTAGCTTTTTATTCAAACTTTTTTTAAAAGTGCTAGTTTTCTTCACTATTCGATCTGTTTAAATGATTAGTTTTATTGAGTAGGAGCATGCTTTGATGTGTCAGTTTCTTTGTAGCTTCATCAGTAGAATCTTTATTGTACTTTTAATTTTTCTATATTTGAACATTTAACTATCAAACACTATTACAAAAGTGGTTTCTATGATAGCTTTAACATACACTTTATTTGGTCATATTATTTTTCTTAGTTTTCAACAACTCGGTTCTGCACTCTAATATTTGGAAGTGAATATAAACTAAGTAATAATAGATCATATCTTCTGCAAGCTTAATTCATTTTCGCGGCCAAGGGAGATTAAGTAAGAGGGTGAGTTTAGTACAGCAACAAGTTTGTTGCTTAGTGATCATGAAGTTTCTTTTCGTTTTAGTGTTCTGCTCCATGCTTTTTCCTAAACTAGTAGGATACCCGTGCACGGGTGATAATGTATTTTGCATGAATTTATTTAAAAAATAAAAGCATAATTTGTTAATGAAAATTTTATTGAGAGTTACCTCATTAAGGATAATGTTTATGTATTTGATTGTTGGTATAAAGTTGTTGAAGAAGGATATAGTGTTGTTATATTAAATAAATAAAGAATTGTTATGAAGAAAAAGTTTGGATGATAGTGTAAAAGAAGTTGTAGAATACATGTTGGAGATTTTGGAAAACTTATTTCTAAATCATATTTGATGTTGTTTTTAGTGATTGACCATTCTTATCACATATTAATATCTTTAATCCTTTTTTTCTTTGAGCTGTTGAAATAGCTAGATAAAATTGGTCATGACTGAATAATGGTCTAGGTAAATATAACCTCATATTTTAGTGACATCCAATACTATATTATTGCATAATCCTTCATACTGGTCTAAATTTCTCTATCATTATGGAGTTCCAACTTTCAACTTGATCTTATGATTGAGAAGAGAGGTTGTAAGTCAATTTAGAAATTTAAGAGTTAGTATGCTGAATGTTACACTTTCATTAACATGAGGCATATCAATTGAATTTAAACTCAGGTATGTCTTTTCCTCACGTATAGTTATATATTAGAACGTTTATTAGTATAACTTTAATAAATCTATTATATGGAACATAATAAAAATTTGAAGACAATTAAAAAATTCACATGGAATTATAGTTATAATATATTTGTTGATTTGACCAACAGTCTCAATTCTTGATGCAAGTATTTTTCTAGATTGTAGAAATTGTTCGTCTTAGTAGCGATGTTGCATATTTGGATAAGTTCTAGACAGTATGATATCAATTGATGTTATCAAAATCAAGAATAAAAAATTATTCTAGAATATCAACTTCAGAACAACCATCATTAGACTTGAGTAATTTTCTATCCTCCGCCTTCAATATCCATTTATAAAGATAATGCATCTGAAATGTAATAGGTCACCATAAGTCCATACCTACATCCATAACGTGTTGATAAAGTAAATATAATGCAATTGAAATGTAAAATATAAACAATATAAGTGTAAGTATAACATTGTAAAATTAGTGTATATAGAGTGTTTATGGTCAATATTTATTTGTCATAGAAATAATTTTTTCCTTTCGTTATATAAATATTTGGTTGTCAAATTATTTATGGTAACATATGATTAGGTATCTATCTATAAGTTAACAAAAATGTGTACTTTTTTTTAAAAAGGCTACCACATTTGAGTAAAAAAAAAGGAGAAATGTGAGTCATAGGAAGATAAACCTATGAGAAGAAAAAATAACAATGTTAAAGTGACATGTGCTACATTTTAAAGTAACATGATTTTATGTGCTGCTATACACATTAGTGAAGTAAAATTATTTTACATATCTAACCCTTTTTCTTATACGTACCTAAGACAACTTTCAAAGTTTTAAGGATAGTGTAATGAAATTGTTGTAGCCTTTTATCCTATGTGGATATTTTCACAAAGTCACATTTATATATTACTTCATTTTCTTTTCCTCCCCCATATGAAACTCTAGAATATAACAAAGTTATCATGTTATATTGTATCATGCTATATTTGAATATTTTAATGACAATACCTTTGACTCTGGACAACTTTTTTCTGAAAGGTAATCACTAACCTTATAAAGTATTACCGCTAAATTTTTTCTCAAGTTTTTAATATAATTTTTTTAAAATGATGAATGTTGTACACTAAAATAATGATGATAGACTACCACACATGAACTATAATTACTATATTTAAATTTTTAGAAGTGCAATGCAAACTTTTTTACATTCCTTTCTCTAGATTTAACAAAATCATGAGCAAATGACTAAGTGGTATGAGGACAAACAATAATTTCACCATCTTAAATTAAAATAATGAAAGAAACTTAACTATTTATTTTGTGTTGACATTAGTTTTATTTTGTGCCCTCAATATTTTCTCCCTTTTCACTGAATTAGTTATATTTAATTTTATTTTGTGCCCACATTAATCTTAAAAATTGGAGTGAATGACTCACATCACTTCCATCCCTCATGAATGCAATTCCTAAGGTCAAAATGTAATGCTGGAAACCTATGACTTTTGACTCCACTATTAACAGTTCAAAACATAAATGTCACTATGAGTCTCTTAGGAAAAAAATAAATTAAAAATTCAATTTAACAATAGAACTGAGAATGCAAGTTCATGAAGGATTAAAGTTTAACATAACTCAAGATGGTTTTGAATCTATATTATTCTCTACGCTTTGAAGTTAATCCATTGGCAGGTGATTTATCTCCAATGTCTTTTGGAGCTTCCATTTTGTAACTTTTCTTTTGCTTCTAAACCATATGCTGAAGAAGAATAAGGAAAAAATAACAGGCCGAGAGAAAGTTAGATGAAAAGATATAGATGCACAAAATAAGGACACATAGAAATGTAGTAAATAAGGTTAAATGACTTATATAATGAAAATATAATGTCTAAAAATGCACAAAGTAAGCTTGATTGATAAAAAGTTGGTAAAAAATGATTCATTTTTACCAAATAAGTTAGACAGTGAGCATACATATCCAAAGTACCACAAAAAAGTTAACACAAAGAAGTTAGAATGGAGGCAATAAGGAACATATTAAAGTAAAAATAATATTGAGTTGTTACACATTGCAATCCATTGTTCTATAGCAATCATTCAAATAAAAACTTGAAAAAATGCATCACGAAAAGTTGTTAGAAAAAATAGAAAACCATTTCGGAAAGAGAAGGTTGGGTCAATATAAATGCACTATAATATTTTTAGCCCTACTCTACCATATAGTTCTTGTTATGGCTATATTGATTTAAAATTTTATAATATTTTTTTGGTCTTCGGGTCAGAGAAGAGACATAAGCCCCAGTAAGTCCTTTGAATATATCCTTAGTTAGGTTGGAAAGTAGAGAATAGTTAGGAATTGAAGGCAAACAATCATATTAAAAGTGTAATGTATAACTAAAATATAGTGGTTAGTGTCACCTTTCTCTTTCTTTGAAATGTTATGAAGAATGAGAAATGTTCACTTGCAATCAATGCAAGGAATAACAAGTTCAGTGTGACTAAAGTGTAACAAAAGAAAATTAAACATGTAAACATTGAAAGGCAGAAGAAAATGTTATCTTGAAATGTAAATGAACTAAATAAGCTTCATTGAGCAAAAAATGACCAAAAAATGTTAATTTGCTAGCAAAAGTCTTACATGGTTAATTAATGTTGAACTAAAAAACCAAGGATATTAATCCAGTAAATAATTAAATAAAAATTCAACAATATATATTCAACTAAAGTATGAGATAACCATAAGGAAAATATTAAACTTAGTGATGATGAAATGTAAAACTCATGCACATGGTATGTATTGTGGTATGACCAATTACTTACACTGAGAACAATGTACCGTAGTGTATCATTCTCTTGATTCCAACAAATTCTGCTTAAATGATAGTGAGTTACCTATCCATAGTAATATATTTAAGTGAGTATTAAGAATAAGTAGAACATTATTAGAGATGAACCTCCCTTTTTAAATAGTTTAGTAATATATAAAACCTTAGTAGAAAGGAAAGCATGAGAATGGATCCAAGACATTGAATTTTGTGGTCTAGAGTCTAGACCCATTACTTTCTCAAAAGTATGCATGGAGATACATGTGTTGTTGTAAATACATTGTATGGTTTGTTTAAAAGAATGAACTTCTTGACATGCATGAGATAAAATTGAAACTTGAAAGCAATGGTTGGAGTGCAAATGTTCAAGTTGGCTATATAAAAGAATAGACTTTTTGTTCATATAATCGTGCCATTGATAAAATGCATCAACTAAAGTGGGTCAACCACAAATGTTGCAAAAAGTATGTGCAAGTCCAAATACCACTAATGAAATACCTCATCATATCTTGTGGGTATGTATGTTGTAATACATATATATATATACACACACATATTTGTGGAAATGAAGTGAGGAAAAATGTTTTACTTTGTGAGTTTGTGATTCTTATGATGGAAAATCACTATGTTTTTTGGGTAAATTAAGAAAATAAAAATCTTGCCCATAACTTATTACACATAATAAGATTTGCAATAGTTAAATTTTTACTTAAAGTAATAATTAATAAATTTAATTAAACAATGATCTCATGGCTCATAAAAAGGAGGTAGTGTATGATGGTGAGCTAAAGTGTTAAAGTATGAGATAATATTGTCATAAGGAAAAGTGCACATGGTATGTATCGTGGTATGACCAAGTACCTACACTGAGCATATTATGGTGAAGAAGACCATAGTATATGATTCTCTTGATTCCAACGAATTTTGCTTAAATGATTGTGAGTCACCTGTCCATAGCTAGATATTTAAGAGAGTATTAAGATAAAGTAAAAGTTTACCGTGAGAAACAAAAATAAATTCATTGTGATAGATAAAAGACTCAAAAAGCATGCATACCCAAAATAATATAAATAAGTTACACATAATAAGTTGTAATGGGAAATCATACCAAAATTGTTATCTTCAACTCAAACATCATGTAATGAGCTTCCTGGAGCAAAAATAAAAAAAAAACAAATGTTAACTTTTCACATAAAAATGTTGTCTTTTTAGTAAATGTTGATATAGAAAATAACAAATAAGTTTGATCCACTAAAAATG